CAAGTGAAAGACAGGTGTGGGGGCCAGGGAGAGGAAGTAGGAGTGGCAACTCACCACCCCTCAGGCGCACTAGTGCTTCCTGTTCTCACAATTCTAGGCTCTTCTGGAGGACTTAGTTCCCAGAACAGGAGGATTCTAGAAGGACATCAGGAAGAACCCATTAACTTTCAAGTTATCAAATGCTGCTGGCGTATGTTAGGACCTTGTATCATGAGACCAGGCCAGGAAAGAAGTTGGCTCCTGACCTTCGGGATGTGGCAGGACGCTGTTGCATAATGGGGATGGGGAAGAACAGTCAGGCACCTCTGTGAACGCAGGTGTCTCTTCATGCTCTCCTGCCCAACTGGATGGGAAGTGGACAAGTCTGCAACCACATCGGAGGACACCGATTGACCAGAGGTTCTGAAGGCCCCAGGATGGGGATCTGGGTCACTCTAGCAGATAAGCCATGAAGAAAAGCAGAGGTGCTAGCTTGAGGGAAGGGACTACTGGGATGATATAATACTGGAGGGAGGCAGGAGGCTTTGCTGGAGGCAAAGTGGACCAACCAGAATCCGAGAGATGCTCTTCTGAGTGAACTTAATCAAGCCAGGGAAGGGTGTGAAGATGCTGTCCAGAACCCCTTTTGGGACCAAAGCTCTCATTCCCCAGGTGTTGGGACTATTGGCTACTGAGGGACCAAGATAAGCCTGTCCTTGGCAACTGTCCTCAGATGGACAGCACATCTTCTTCCAAGATTGTGGGCCCCACCCTAGGGACAGCTCCCATCCAGTGATCTCTGTGGCAGTGTGAAGGCTCTAATGACTTGTCTCAAAGCGAGCCATCTCTGGTTTCTCTGGTACCTCCTTTGTAGACCGTCATAGTTCAACTTCTGTAAATACCTGTCTCCCCATCTGTTTCCTGTGGAATTCAAGTTTCATCATAAATCTGGCCAGACTATCTTTCTGCTCCCAAGTAGTCCATTTTTTTTGCTTACATTTTTCTTTATCAATAGTGTTCCTTGCATATTATGCTACCACACCTGTTTAACCTTAAACACTAGCCTGGTCCCTCATGGATGTGACTAGTGCTCCCTACAAACTCACTCCTTGAACACTTCGCAGTCCTTGTTGGCTCATTTTTACCCTTTCCCCAAGATTTTGAAGTAACAGTACACAGCACAGGGAGGAGCTCAATGAGTACATTTTTAATGTGTTATAAAATATTTGATACACAGAAAAGGTCATACAGAATGTAACAAAAGGGCTGGATGTCTGGTTCTAGTGGTACAGCCAGATGTGAGCAAGAATGTAAAATTCTAAATAAACCTGCCTTAATAAAACATAGAAGCACAGTCAAAACCTTTGTGATTTCTTGTAGACCATCCTTCTCAACACCCAGTGGTAACCACCCTCCTAAGAAGCAATGGTACACCTGGCATTCTTGTCTTTGTACATCTGGGTAGGTTCTTCTACATACCCAGAGGAAATTACTTGGCCCAAGGGTATCTTTTTCTGCTAGAAATTTCTAAATGACCAAATTATTGAATCTATTTCACCCTTCTCTAGCACAGCCTGAGAGTTCTTTCTGTTCACAAATCCACATTCTCATCACTCTTGGCATTGACAGATTTTTCCTTTTTCTTCTTTGCTAGTCTGTTCAATGTGAAATAGTTGGTTTTGATTTGCCTAAGTCCTAAGTGGATGTAAGCTCTGTACATCTGCTTCTTAAAAATTATTTGTTGTACTTGTGGTTCCTTGTGAGGGTAAAATGGGAGGGTCACTTGAGCTCAGGAGTTTGAGACCAGCTTGGGAAACAACCAGGTTATCTCAAAACAAACAAATAAAATCATTGCACTTGGGCTGGGAAGTTGGCTCAGGGTAGAGTGCTTGTCTTGCATGCATGAGGTCCTGGGTTAGATTCCTCAGCACCATATAAGTAGAAAAGTCGGAAGTGGCGTTGTGGCGAGTGGTAAGGAGATAGCTTTGTGCTGAAGAGCTGAGGGACAGCGCCCAGGGGCAGAGATCAGCCCCCACAACTGACAAAAAAAAAAAAAATCATTGTGCAGATGAAAAGTTTGCACTCATTTATTGTCTCCATTCTGTTTGATTCCTGCACAGGGTGTATTCCTAGGCTAGTCATCTATATTCCTTTGGATTTCCAACCTGGCTTTCCACCAGATTCTCTTTATGCCTGGCCCACTGCTGGAGATTGTTTTGGCTTTGTCTCTGTAACTGTTTCTGGTGACACCGACCTGCTCCTGATTACCAATTTTCTGACCTTACCCTGGCTTCTCACCTAACCCCCATTCCTCTTGGATGATGTGTCGTCTACTCTGGTGCTTGGCTGAGATCCAACATCTCAGATCCCAAACCTAATCATAAAGAGGCTGCAAACATGGCAAAGGCCTCATTTTCAGGTTTTCACTGATGGTACCAACAATCTTTGCTTAGCCAGTCTTACAGCCTTCAAATCCAACCATCTCAGCTTCACCCCCCTCCTGGAGAGAGCAGGGAGGAAAGCAGCAGCAGACTCTAAGCCGGTAAGTAAGCGGTTACGAAAGGGCATCTTTCACAGATTTCCTTCCTTTTGGGTTCTGTTGCTGTAGTCCTCCTGTCCTAGCACCTGTCCCTAGATTCTTGGAACAAACCAGATTGAGCTGACGAGACTCTACATGGTGTCCAGTATTACTGAAGGCAATCCCTGAGAGTATCAGGAGCCCACCTCTGGTGAGGTCTCAGGGCTGCAGTCAAGGAGAAATGCTTGGGCCTTCCTGAATTCTACTAGGAGAGGATTCTTCAAGTCAATATTCCTTTTCTTTCTTTGTCCTTTTATAATACTAGGAATCAATTTCAGACCTACTTGCTTGTGAGGCAAGCACTCTACCACTGAGATACACCTCCCACCCCCAGCTCATTTTCATTTTTAAAAAAATTCATCTGAGATAGTTCTTGCTGTGCAGACCAGGCTGGCTTCAAACTTGTTTTTTAAAACTGATCCGGGCTTGTGTGCTGTCCCTGAGCTGCTCTGTGCTCAAGGCTAGTGCTCTACCATTGGAGCACAGGGCCACTTCAATTTGTTTTCTGAGTAATTTATTGTAGGTAAGAGCCCCAGCTGGCTTCAAACCACGATCCTCTCAGCTCTCAACCTCCTGAGCAGCTAGGATTACAGGTGTGAGCCACTGGCACCCAGCTTTGGCCTCAAACTCTTGATCCTCCTGCCTTAGTCTGGTATAAGAGGCATGGGCCCATTGTATCTGGCTCTGTCCAGAAAGAGTCCCTACAGATCTACTGTTTTATTAGATTTCTGAAAATCCACTGAGGTCATGTACAGCACGTGAAGCTATATAGCAAGGCTGTCCTGGGGACATAGAAGTTGTGTTTGGAAGAGATTCCCAGTCACCCATTGAGAATGTCCCTGGAGATTCCTGTGAGAGCTCCTGCAGCTGCCATCCAGGCATCAAACTTCACAATGAGCTTCACGTGTGAGGTGCTGAGGCCCTCACTATGGACAAGATTAGATTAAAACACAGGTCCCACCTGGTTGTATTTTACAAACCAAGAGTTGGAGGCAGATGCTGCAAGGTGGAGAAGCAGCTGTGGAAGCTCTTGCTCTTGGGAAAACTGGTACCAAATGCAGGTATGGGAGCTCAGCACCTCACAGCGATGATGCAGGCAATGCATACTGACCCTTAGTGAGAATCCTGGCAAGCAGCAAGTGCTAAATCAATTTAACTTACGAGTAGATGAAGAGGGGCAGGAGTCTTAATCGGAGATGTAATCAGTGTGGTGCTTGGTAGAACAGGAAACAGTCAACAGTCGTCGTAGTCGGGCCACCGCCAGTCCTGGGCTTGAACTCAGGGCCTGGGCGCTGTCCCTGAGCTGCTGCTCAAGGCTGGCGCTCTACCACCTGAGCCACAGCACCGCTTCTGGCTTTTTCTGTGTATGTGGTACTGAGGAATCGAACCCAGGGCTTCACTCAAGCTAGGCACTAAGCCACATTCCCCGCCCCAGGAGAGCAGTCTTGAATGACATAGGCTACAGAAACCCACCTATCCCAACGCCTGGCAGCGCGCCATGCGTGTGCAGCCACCCGCGCAAGCGGGCGGCCGGGCCCTGCCACCT